CAAGTACATGTCAACTTACACTAACCCTAACCTAACAGTATACTTATCTAATGAGAATTAGTTGGCAGATAGATGCAATATAACTTAAATTCAACAAACGAACCATCAAAATAAAGTGTGACCAATAAAATAAATGACGTCAGTAAAAGAATATTCATCTGTTTTTACCTGATATTGTTTTTTCACAGATAACAAAATTCCTTTTATTACACTGTTCGTTCATCCACTGTCCAGAGGCCAGAGCCATTGAAAAACATTTTTTCTCACGGTCTTCAGCATCTAAATCACCAAACAAACCCTCTGCCATGCCTTCCCTCATCCAGACCCCAACTGGATCTTCGCTGGGATTAAAAACAAATAGATCAGACATTATTGAAGTTTCAGTATTTAGTGTCTAAAACTTCAGTATCTAAATAATATATGCATTCTGTACTTTCTACAGTTCCCCTTAAATATTTCTGTTAAAAAAAAAAAAAAAAAAAAACGTCAAAAATCTTTTGATCTCTTACAGACGGAATGAATTTTGTATGAAGCTCTGAACAGTCACACTGTCCACCAAAGCAAGGTCTCCTCCTCTCTCGTCTCTCTGACAGATGCCTCTTGCTTCCAGCCATGTTGACGTAAATGAGGGCATCCAGTAACAGCGCAAACCATCACGGTCAATTTTTGCTCCCTTTGGGCAATCTTTTTCTAGAGCAAAGCATGAAATATTCCAAAAACATGAGACGCATCTTCACATAACGAAGGCAAGTCACATAGCGTAATGCTCTGTGATTGAAAACAATTAGCAAGAATAATATCCATTACTGAGCAAGACAGACAAAACATCTCACCGCTGAAGCAGCTTGTAAAAACACAGAGAATCCAAATGAGAGGCAGGTGGAGAATATTTGCCATTTTATCCAATCCTCTGGTAGAGCATCATGAATGTGGGTAATAATGAATAATATACCGAAGAGACTGCATCATGGATGTGTCTGTCCACTAACTTTTCGTCTTCGTCTTCAGCTCTGTTTTTCTCTCTGGCCTCTATCTTTTCGTCATTCCCTCTAACTTGTCCATTTATTGCTCGGTGACCTTTTGGCATTGCGCGTTTCAATACAGTTTCAACCCCCCCTTTAACATTCGCATGACTTTCGGTTTGTCTCACAGCAACAGTCCTAGAAGAGAAAGAGTGGACAGAAACCCTCATTAACATGCTGTAAAATCCCTGTTGATGAATAGGCAGTTAAAACCACTCATCCAGTTTAACTGCGTCACCACCTCCTTTATTACACAAAATTATTTATAAAACGAAAAGAGCATTCTGTAGGCATTGGTGGTGCTGGTTTCAACTGGAATTAAACATTTTTTTTTGTGCAGCTTTACTTAAGCTTCTGTCCAAACCCTTGGAAATATCTAGTCTGATCTTTGGGCAAGTGTTTATTTTTCTCCTGTAGGACATCCTGTAAGTCATTCTCCTCTCCAATTTAAATGTACAGAACATAGTACTGCGGAAAAACTGCAGAAAGGAAGAAAGACTGCTCTTCTCGGAAGACGCACCAGCCGTTGCTAAGCAACAGAGTAGATAGAGCAAGGGTTGACAGTCATTCTTTTCAAAGCGAAGCAGATAGATGTAACAAAGCTTCCTTGGATGAATACCGGGTCATAGCTTTCAGGAGTGAACAATGGAACAGCATCTAATAGTTCGCAGTGAAAAGGCCAATGAGAATCAGATTGGATTCTGGTGACCTTTTTTTCCCCCTCCAAACCTTACTGGATCTAGAGTTTACATTGCAAACTAAATCTTGTTCATGTAGTTTCAAATCCTTTATCATTTTCTCTCCAACTGTAAGTAGAAAACAACAGAAAATGTGTTAAAGAATGATAGTAGCCAAGCAACATTAGATTTCATTGACCTTCATTAATTCATAGAACTATAACAACATTTTTATATTACAAATACATCAGGAGAACAAGACGTTGGATGAAATAACAGCATTTTTTAATTCTTTTAATTCATATTTTTTATTTTATTTTAGTCTTAAAAATAAAAAAATAACAATGTAAAAGTCAGTGTTGTGTTTTTCATGCTTAATATAATATAATATAATATAGTATAATATAATATAATATAATATAATATAATATAATGAAATAAAATTTCCAGTACTGGGTTGTGGCTGAAAGGGCATCCGCTGTGTAAAACATATGCTGAAATAATCGGCAATTCATTCTGCTGTGGCAACCCGATAATTAAAGGATTAAGCCGAAGGAAAATGAACTAAATTGAATTGAATTTAATTCGCTATGCTGGTCATCTGACTCTGCTGAGGCGGAGTTTGAGGCACACTCAGGCACGTGGAAACGGTGTCCAGGGAGAAGTAGGATTAAAGGCACAGGCAACATAAACAGCTACATTGTTTTTAGAGCAGAAAATCACAATATTTTGAAAGCTTAAATAAATAAGCTAATGAGTGTGTTAAGTTAAAACTTTATCGACACATTCTGGAGACACAAAAGACTCATCTTAAATCTTGAAAAAAAAAAAAATAAATAAATAAAAAAGGTGCTCTTTAAATTGGATAAGACTATTAGCATCTTGCTCAACAAATTTAAAAAAGGGCTTTGATAATTTCCCTATTTAAAACTCGACTCTTCTGTAGTCACATTGTATGCCAAGACTGAAAGAAAATTAAAAGTTTATCTAGGTTGATATGAACTACTCTCATTCTTGTGTAATAATCAAGAAACTTTGCTGCTATATCATTGTTTCAACAGTCCCAATGATTTTACACACTACTGTAACCTAGTAGGATAGCACGGTGGCGCAGTGTGTACAATTGTCATCTCTGTTTGGAGTTTGCATGTTCTCTCTGTGTTTGCATGGGTTTTCTCCGATGCTCTGGTTTCCCCCACAAGTTCAAAGACAAGCGCTATAGGTGAATTGAACAAACTAAGTTGGCCTTAGTGTATGTGTGTAAAGGAGTGTGTATGGATGTTTCCCAGTGATGGGTTGCAGCTGGAAGGGCATTCGCTGTGAAAAACATACACAGGATAAGTTAGTGGTTCATTCTGCTGTGGTGACCCCAGACTAATAAAGGGACTAAGCGGAAAAGATAATAAATGAATGACTATATGTTAACTAGCTGAGGATTATTTTCTTAAGTGCTGTGTAATATCATCATGGCAAATGTTTGGCTTTTCTTCTCTAAAATACTCTTGGTGCATTTGCATGCTTAGTGAAATACACCAAATGAGTTATTGCATGTTTTAAGGTGGTGGGAGAAGTGCTTTGAAAAAAAGAAAGAAAAATCTAAAAGGTTCTGAAGTGATGAATCCCAATTAAAGAGTGCGTTAGCATGGTAATGCAAAAAAAAAAAAAAGAATATTGATGTGTAAATAAAAGATTGAAACATTCTTACCTCTCTAATGCAACTCAAAATGGTATTTGTCTTGAAGAAATACAAATTCTACATCAGCGTCATTAGATAAAGTTTTATGTTATGTGATGTTAAATGTGTTTATTTGTAAATTGGATTTTAGAATTATTCATGAACATGCTGTTTATACTAAATCTTGCTCCTGCTGAAATATTTGTGGCAGGCTGTTGTTCAGGGCTGAATAACAATTATCTGCCAGATAGATTATTACACTGAGCACTGCTCAGAATGTCTGATTACTTTCTGAATCAATTCCCCATCCTTTTTCATTAGCATTGAATCTCATCATCGCCTCTTTATTCTTCAATGTACAGAAAAGACTTGCCAAACAATGAATGTTCCTTGAACATTTTGTTCATCTGCATCACAAATAGATGCTGAACGTGAAGCTTATGAAGTGACACCTGCTTGAGTGATTGTCCTTGGAAAGTGTCAGCACATTACATGTTTAATTGTCTCATACTAAAGGTGAGAGAGTGCAACATCATCAACTCTTTTGGCACCATTTCCAACCCAATAAAATCCTTTTTTATTTCTCCTCTGTTTCATTCAACCTGATGATACTCTCAGGCTTCACCTCTTCTAATCCAGCTAATACACATGAACAACACCCTAAGCCCAAAGGGAAATGCTACAAAGACAGTCCTTCTGTTTTATAGAGGAAAGAGACAATCTAAATCCCTAATAGCAAAAACTGTGCTGAATTTTAGGAAACATGTTTGGATCGAGTCAATAAAGCAGATTAAAACACCTCACCCAAAGAACAATGTTTGCTCTGTTTAATACTCTGTGAAAAGCAGACCTTAAAGGCTGCAAGTGCTTGTAACTTTATATTGATCTACTGAAAGATTGAAACGGCCCAGTCTGAAATACTAAACAGATCCCATTTAATTTTCCAAAACATTATACTGATCTTGTAAAAGAAATCTTTACTATTAATATGTACAGTTAAAGTCAGAATTATTAGCCCTTCTGAATTATTAGCCCCCTGTGTATTTTTCCCCAATTTCTGTTTAATGGAGAGAAGATTTTTTTCAACACATTTCGAGACATAATAGTTTGAGAACTCATTTCTAATAACTGATTTATTTTATCTTTGCCATGATGACAATAAGTAATATTTTACTAGATATTTTTCAGGACACTTCTTTACAGGTTAAAAGGGTAATTAGGAAAGTTATTGTATAACGATGGTTTGTTCTGTAGACAATCGAAAAAAAAAATTGCTTAAAGGGGCTAATAATTTTACCTTAAAATGGATTTTAAAAAGTTAAAAACTGCTTTTATTCTAGCTGAAATAAAACAAATAAGACTTTCTCCAGTAAAAATATTATCAGGCATACTATGCAAATTTAATTGCTTTTTTTTTTAAATAAAGTGTTTATTTAATTTTCTAATATATTTCTTCACTGAGAAGATCATGAACATAAAATGAGTAAAAAAAAAAAACTTTCGTGTAACCATAAATGCTTATTTAACTAAAGTGAACAAATATCTCTAGTTCTTGGTATGAATTAATTTAAGTTTAATATTTTTATTGTATAGTGTGAAAGAAATTGAAGATTATAAAGCCACAGGTTACTGAGTAAACATGTTTATTAGAATACTACAGTAGCTGTACAAATAAATCATTATGTATATATTCCAGATCAATTTCTGAACACATTTGAAAGGAGACCATCAAAATGTTCCTGGTGGGTTGCCAGTAGACCAAGGGGAGGTTGAGAGAAGTCTTTTTCACACCATGTCCACTAATGTAAATTTATTTTCCTGTTTTGTAGGAACGACGTTGATGAAGGTCTTGTACAGAACAGCTCCCTTAGGAAGTTGTGGGATGTTTTCTCTGGCTTCAGCACTTCGTGGTAGAGGAACATAAACCTCCTTAGTATATCTGACGATACCATCCTCAAGGGCATACAGCGTTTTATTGGTTCCGATACCGACCTGTGATGACGCAAAATAAAATTATAATTTCTAAAAAGATTCCTTTTTAGTAGATTTATGGAAATAAATTTTCGTATTCTGAGAAATGTAAAAACAAGCAACATATTGATATACAGGGGTTGGACAATGAAACTGAAACTGGCCATTTTAGTGTTGGAGGTGTCTGTGGTTCTGTGGAAGACGTTTCAGTGTTGGATGGCTAAATTTGACCAGCCTGGTTTCCATTCATCATTGATTGCACATTTCACCAGTAAGAGCAGAGTGTGAAGGATTAATTATAGCAAAGTAAAGCTGCAGTCACACTAGACTTTGTCGTACGGGATTAAACAAGCTTATTAGACATTTAAAAAAGTGAGCGATTGCTCCATGTTTTAAATTTCTGTCCAGAGGGGTCATGTTTTGATCCTCGACTGGTTTAACGCAGTCAAGTGATTCGATTTCCAAGCTTAAACTTTGCACCGCAGCAACCTGCGAAACTTTCCTGCGAAACTCCAGTCTGACGCATTCGCGTGTGTGTATGAATGGAAGTCTATGGAAAAAAAGCCGCGGTCACACCAGAGTTTGTGCGTGCGTCAGGACTGCAAAAGGGGGCGGGATTAAACAAGATGATTAGAGATGAATAAATGCGAGCGATTGCTTTATGTTTTAAATGTCTGTCCAGAGGTCATGTTTTGATCCTTGATTGGTCTCATGCTGTGTTGACAACAAACGTGGACCGCGCAGATAAAACGCGCTATTCGCGCGGAAATAGCCACGTGAACATTTGAGTTTACTCGCTTCATTCGCGTCACCGACAACAGGTTCTACGTCACAATCACGCCCCCACAAGAGCAAGCTTCTGATTGGTTAACGCGGCGCGAATGTACGCTGAAGTTCAGATTTTCGAACTCGAGAGATTCAAAAAGGCGTCAAACGCACACAACGCTCAATTTGCGCCGCGCCATTCGCGTGTATTGCGCCGCAGGATGTCTATTCGCGCGTTTGCATTGACTTAACAAGTAAATCACTCGCGATTGACGCACGTTCCGCGTCTGGTGTGAACGCAGCTTCACGAAGTCAATAAATGCGATTTCGCAGGTCAAAGTTCAGCAAGCTTGAACTTTGCACCGCATCGAACTGCGAAACTTAATGGATGACTCTGCGTTTCCTGTCTGACGCATTCGCTTGCATATGAATGAAAGTCTATGGGGAAAACAGTCAATTGTGACTTTACATGCATTAAGCTGCGGTCACACTAAAGTTTAAGCATGTAAAGTTCTGTTGTACTGCGCTACAAAAAGGGGTGGGGTAAAACAAAGTGATTAGACAATGAAAAAAGCGTGGGATTGGTCCTATTTTAAATTTCTGTACAGTGAGATCGTCTTGATCTTAGTTTGGTCTCACGCAGTCACATGATGTGATTTCACAGGTCAGAGTTCACCAAGCTTGAACTTTGCAATGTACCAAACTGCGAAACATGTTGCATGGACTTGCATTTCCGGTCTGCTACATTGGGATGCTTATGAATGAAAGTCTATTGGGTGAAAAGTGCAGTGTGACCGCGGCTTACTGCGCAATTCTGTTGTACGGCACTTTGAAAAGTGGCAGAATTAAACAAGTTGATTAGACATTAAAAAAAAAGAGAACAATTAGTCCATATTTTACATTTCAGTACAGAGAGAGAGAGATCACATTTTGACCTCCGATTGGCCTCACACAATCATGTGATGTGATTTCGCAGGTCAGAAATCACCAAGCTTGAACATTGAAATGCAGCAAACTACAAAACATGTTGCACAAGCTTGCATTTCTGATTTTTCACATTCGCTTGCGTATAAATGGAAGTCAATGAACATGGCCAAGAACTTATACCCACTTTGTAAAGCCACTGTAAGATGTTTTGGGGGTGCGAGTCAGGAAACTTTATCCTCCACCAGTCTCATGAAATAGTCTCAGAATGCCTCAAAATCTCTCTGACCACGGTGCAGGACTTTCTCATTCCCAAGACAAACTAAAGCTGTATTGGCTGCAATAGTATGTCCTACACCTTACTGATGAATTATTGTGGCCCAAAACAAGGCGTTTCAGTTTCATTGTCCTACCTCTTCACAATTAATGCAATTCTAGACATTTATAGGTCACTCATAAAATATTGTTATACTTTGTTAAATATTTCTCAAACACAATTATATTTTAAAAAGGCTCCAAAGCAACAATATGTTACATAATATCAAAGCATTGTTTTGGTCAGCAAATAAATTTATATATTTAAAAAAAAATGTAATGTAAAATGCCTGATATAGCAAAGCTATAGCTATATTTCTAACACAAAACTAATTCATGTTAGTGAGTATAATGTACATTTATACACTTATATATTTATACACTAAGGTAGTGTTTCCAACTCTTCCTAATCAAACACACTTGAATCAACTTATTAGAACATAAGAAGAGACTCCAAAACCTGAAGTTAATGGGTCAGAGACATTCAAAATATGTACTGTTGGTTTGTCTCCATAAACAGGGTTGGGAAACACTGCACTAAGCAGTAGTCAGAAATTATTATTGTGTCAACAATCTCTTTCGGCAATTTATTTTGAAGTGGAAATAAAAACAGGATGTCTTATCTTTGACACATGTGTAAAATGCAAAAATAACAGCAAAATACTGTAATGTATTAAAAACATCTTACATGAGCTCCGGGATGCCAGCGCATTAAACCCTTGCGTTGTGTTGCGAGGATGTTGCCTGCATGTACAAAGTTCCCTTAAAAGAAGCAAAAAATATATTAAAAAAAAGGAAAAAGAAAATGAATTATAAAAACACATGTATACAAAGACTAGCAGTAGTAAAATAGTACACAAAATCATGTTATGGTTTTAATATCCTATCAAGGTCAACAGACAAAAAGAAAATACCATCTTGTTTTTTGTAGCCGTATCTGCGACCAGAACTTTTTCCTCCAAGGTTTTTGCTGCTCCCTCCTGACTTTTTTGAAGCAAACCTTGCCAGTACAACAGTGGGCGTTTCACTGAACAGAATACCTGCAATGAAAAATAGCATCTAAATATGTGCAACATGCTGGATGACATTCTTCATTGATATCTGTTTGACAGAAATGCTCGTGAACTAAGCATCAATTTAACCTAAGTCTTAAAGATCTAAATGACCATGTACAAAATGAGGCAAATCGGTTAGGTTTAACACTTTGTTTAATGTTGATGTTGCAGTCAACACATGCTCAAATTGCAAATGATGTCTTAGCATGCCACTGTCAACTCACAGTCATTTCTGATCCCAGAAGAAAAAGCAGTCCGCTATTATTACGTCATCAGTTATTATTCAAATCATGTACACAGTACATGATACAATCCTAAAATAAAATAAAAAAACATGACATTTTACTTACATGATTTGGATCTCAACAGCAAGGACATGAGCGCCGCCATCTTAGATGACGTAAACGTGACGCAACGGGCGCGTTCCCGTGATCCTTCAGGGCCCGCGAACCGCAGAATTTGGCTGGGGTGAGTAGAGAGAGACACAAACAAAGTTCGCGAATGTTACATTTTTACAGCTTGAATAGATGATTTGAGAAGATCTGGAGTTGTAAGAGCAGTTGTACCTCTTCAATGCATATGGTTTGTGTTCTCAAGTTGGAAACGTTTGTTCTATGCTGCCTTTCTGTTCGTGTATGCCAATGTAAATTTGTCTGAAGTCATATCTGACGGTTCTTTTCATGTTTATGGCTGAATATTGCAAAGCCCGCACTGTTTTACTTATCCTGGTTTAATATCCTGTGTCGACCAAATAATCTTTTTAAAATTTTGTTGAATTAATCATATTTCCTTGATAAACCAGTAAAACATTCCACAGAGTGGACTGCTTAACTGGTGTTATCAGTCTCTCTAATATGATTCCGAATCTGCAATAAGTCAATTATAATAAGTTAAAGTTGATTTGATATTTGCACATTCAGACTTTCTCTTTAATAATATAACTTCAGAAAAGTATTCTTTGCAAACTCTAAACAGTGAAATCATATTAGCAGCCCGTGGCTATTAAAGTATATTATTCACAGTCAGTTAAATAGTGCTAATGGTATTTCAGAGCCAATATGTACAGTAGCCTGTCGCAAGTTGTCACTGACTCACTGTCCCAAAATGAACAAATGTACGAATACAAAAACAAATTTACCTCAATGTCAATTATAAGTTGCCTAGCTTGGTCAGGTTATGTTGAAACTAAGACTTGTGGTAAATGATTCACAGTTCTAATCGGCTAGCAATAGTGTGTGTGGTAATCTGTTTTGAAGTAATTATGCAAAAAAAAAAAAATTAAAAAACAATTATGATTTATACATATTATGAATGTTTAAAATGTTGCTGAAAATGTATTCAAACATTTATAATATACTATTATTATTTTTTATTAGTATTTAAGACTGTTTTTGTTTACCTGAATAAGATTAAAAAATAATTATATATATATAATATATATGTCTATATGTCTGTGCACTTTACCGCTAGGCTATTGGCACTGACCTGAATAAGATTTTTGCTATAAATAAAATGCTGTAACATTTAAAGTGCAGTGCAGTATTTTAACAAATTATAAATGTACTTACTTATTTATTTATTTATTTATTTATTATTATCATTAAAAAACATATATTATTAAACCATATCATGCAATACATATAGTGTGGCACATTCCATCTTGCAATTTGTCTACATTAGGATAAATTAAGGGAATTTACAGTGCTCCGCATATATGAGTACACACAAATATCTCATTTAAATATTTTCTTTAGGATTTGCAATATTATATTTGTGGATATACATTAGTTTAGTCAGTACTGAACCCAAATGTGGAGCCTAACTAACAAAATAACAAAAATAAATAATAAAAATAAACAAAATAAAAATCTGTAGCCCAAATTTATATGTTAGTGAAAATATTAAATACATTTTTTCAAAAATATCAATAATCAAGATTTTTGCTGAAATGTTTTTGTCATAAATCTTTTTTGCAATATTTAGCTTGAATTTAATTGTATTATCTTTCCATTTCTAAAGATGTTATGTGAATAAAATATTATTTTAATAAACATATCTGTTTAATAAAAAAGCTCTTTTTGACAAATGAGTTAAACTAGTAATTTGGATGGTAAAAGTACAAAAATGTAAAATTACAATCAATTGGTATTTTGCAACCGAACTTTGAGTCTTTTAACATGTCAACAAATGATTCTTGTCTAAACATGCCTGATAAGATTTTTAGGCTATGTAAGTAGGGCAGTGCGTTTTTTCTCATTTTTTCTTTTTTTTTGACAGATATTGTGATTTTATTTACGATTTAATTTTGTAGTTAAGCTTCAGTTTAATAATCTGTAAACCGTGGCAACAATTCTGCGACATATCTTAAAAATGACCTGTTTTTGTTTGGTGTTTGACGTTGAGACCAAAATATTCCCATATTACAACAGCAGCAGAAGCCATAATCCCACTTGTCAGCGCTTTTCTGTTGTTTGTTTTTTTATTTTTGATTGTGGGCTGAGTTCGGTTGTGCAATTCTGATTGGCCAGAACGAAAGTGTGCTCACTCATTTGGCTAGTAAGGCTGTCACACACAGCCAGTGTTCTGTCGATTTGTCAGACCTTGACACATGACGCATTATGCTACCCATCAGATTTTGCTACCAGTGTACATTTTAATGTGGATTAGTGTAATATGAAGTTGTAATATCGCCCTAACCTACCTAAACCCCAACCCCAACCCCAACCTCAAAGCCATTAAAATACAGTGTTGGTAGCATAATCTGATGGGTAGGATAAAATGTCAGAATTTGCTCTGGGTGAAGGAGATTAACTTAACTATATTAACTATATATATATATATATATATATATATATATATATATATATACATATATATATATATATATATATATATATATATATATATATATATGTTTTTTTTTATTGCAGCCTCTTGCGATTAACTAATCGTGATGTTTCAAATTGCAATTCAATTTCAATTAATCCCACAGCCCTATATGTATAAATTGTACCCTGAATGCCAATTAGAGGGTGTCTTATGGTTAATATTTTTATTCTTAAAAAGTAAATTAAAAACAGGACACATTCTAATGGAGAGATTTTAGCTAAATTAGAAAATAAGTATTGTTAAGGCTGCTAGATAATAAACATTTTACTCTAACTTTTCTGTCAGACTACAGATTTTTGAATGATACCTCAGCATGACTTGCGTCAGCAGACCTGGATTCGTCTTAAGTGACAGTGAGTCGAGTGATTCAGAAGAGCTGCCTGTGTTCGATTTCTCTCAGTCACAAACCAGACAGACCAACTTGGTGGTTTTAGACAGTTCAGACTCAGAAATGGCTCCTGTTGCAAATCCAGTTTCATCTCTGGAGGTCCAAACTTCTGCTGGAGCCACTAAAAGTGATGTGCTGATGGTCAGCAGTGCTAGCGAGGATGAGGAGGAGCCCATGATTCCCTTAGCTGTGAGACTCAAACAGAAACAGTGTGGTCTGTCCATATCCGCCACCAATGCAGAACAGAGCCGGGCTTCCAATGCAGTTTCAAATGGATGTTCACGCCTCTTAGATGTTCCAGCATATCATATCAACCCTGAGGCCCAGCCAGTTCAACGCAACAAGATCAGTAGCAATATAACAAGGCATTACAGCTCAAACCATGATGCACCATACCTCACAAAAGAACCTGAAGCAGAGAATGGCACTTACCTGGCCAAACGCAAGAAAACCCCAGCAGAAGTGGAGGCTGCCAGACAAGAAGCCCTGAGGAAAAGAGCAATTCGAGAGCACCAACAGGAAGAGAGGGGGAGATTGAGGATGGAGAAGAAAGCTCTGGCTGATGCTGTGAAAGCCCTAAGGCCAGAGGAGTGCATCAAACACACGGTGGTGACGGTCGACCCTGGTAGGTGGCAGTGTTTGCCTGCAGTGCTCATCTCTGCTGTCACTGTTGCTTTCAGTGCTCTGTGCGCTTTTGATACTTTTCCCGAGTTGTTAAAAAGCACTGGCATGAGGTATTAAGGTGCATTTGCTGAATGGATTAGTATTGATTAGCTGTCTCTCCCCCGTAGGTCTGTTGCAGCTGGAAGGTGGCGGCGCTCTCCTGACTTCCCTGCATGCCATGGGCTGCAACTGTGCCATAGAGAAGCAGTCTCTTCCTCGCAGTGTCTGCTGGGCGAGACGCTCGCCCTGCCCTCAGGCACGACATCTCTCTACAAATACAGTTTTACTAAAGAACTTTTAATTGCATTTCTTGTTATTAGCTGTAGGACTTACAGAGTAATGAAATTACAATTCTTTCTGACTGATAGGGCTGCACGAAAAATCAGATATTGAAATATTTTGTATTCATGCGATATATGTTACAATATAAATACAACTACCCTAGATCAATTGAATAGCTCTATGTGGAAACAATTTATTAATATTCTATCTATTGGGATGATTTTTGTAGGGGAACAAAGCATGCATGAAGTGTAATAAAAAAATGTAATGTGATAGAACGAAGATAAAAGTGTAATAAACAGTGTTTTATGGTTTGCAGGGTATAGTCTAATCATATTCAGGTAAAGAAATTGAAAAAAGTCTAATATAAAATAACTGCAAAGAATTTACTATTTAAATAGTTCAATAAAATATTTTTTTGTTCAATTTACAAATAGTAAAATTGCTCGTGTCTAAAAGATTTAAACTCATAGCACTTAAAAACCTGTGCAAATGATAAACTTTTACTCCATTATGGTTAAACATTACAGTAACTCCCCAAATTGTGTGTACTTTGAACTGGGGCAATATTAAATTCAATATATTATATACAGTTAATGGAGAGAAGATTTTTTAACACATTTCTAAACATAATAGTTTCTAATAACTCATTTCTAATAACTGATTTATATTATCTTTGCCATGATGACATGAAAATAATATTTTACTAGATATTTTTCAAGACACTTCTATACAGCTTAAAGTGATGTTTAAAGGCTTAACTAGGTTAATTAGATTAACTAGGCAAGTTATGGTAGTTACTATTGGGTAGTTATTGTATAATGATGGTTTGTTCTGTAGACAATCGAAAACAAATATAGCTTAAAGGGGCTAATAATTTCGACCCTAAAATGGATTAAAAAAAATTAAAACTGCTTTTATTCTAGCCTAAATAAAACAAATAAGACTTTCTCCAGATGAAAAAAATTTTTCAGACGAACTGTGAAAATTTTCTTGCGGTTAAACATAACTTGGGAAATATTTTTTAAAAATTAAAAAAGGGGGGGGGGGGTTATTCTGACTTCAACTGTACATGGTGGCGCAGTGGGTATCGATGTCACCTCACAGCAAGTAGGTCGCTGGTTCAAGCCTCAGCTGGGTCAGTTGGCATTTCTGTATGGGGTTTGCATGTTCTCTCGCATGGGTTTCCTCCGGGTGCTCCGGTTTCCCCCACAGTCCAAAGGAATGCGAAACAGGGGAATTGAATACGCTAAATTGACTAGTATATGTGTGGAAATGCAAGAGTGTATGGGCGTTTCCCAATGCTGGGTTGTGGCTGGAAGGGCATCCGCTGCGTAATGACATATGCAGGATAAGTTAGCGGTTTATTCCACTGTGGCAACCCCTGATTTAAAGGGACTCAGCTGAAAATTTAATTAATGAATATTATATGTAATTCTAAGCTATATAATCTTAACTCACTTTTGTTGATCCTACAATGTGACTATTGCAATATTGATGCTGAAACAAAATATTGTACCTACTGGCTGACAGTATAGTTAGCATTGTACTGAAATTTTGGGTACTAAAAATGTTACATTTCTGCTCAGAAATTGTTTTGAAAGAATGAAATCATTTATTGTAACAGTGGCTTTTAAAAGGATAGTTTACTGAAACTTTTACTTACCTCAAGTGTTTCCGAACATTTGAGGGTTTTTTTTATGCTGTTGAACAAAATAAATTATTTTGAAGAATTTTAGAACAACCACCCACCAAGCAATTGTTGCCAAATGTCAGTGAAGTCCTAATAGACATCTAAAAAAAGGCCAAAACTAGACTAGTCATCAAATACACAGGAATGAATGACCACATGTACTGTGTGTCTAATATGTTTATTTGATTAAATGTCTGTTAAATTTTCACTGACAGCTGACATTTAACCTTGTTTTAGCCAAGGCATCCATATTTAGACATCTATTAGACTTCTTAAAAAAAAATCCTGGGCATTGACATCCATAGTAGGAAAAACAAATACGATGGTTTGGAGGTCAGTGGTTTCCGGTTTTCAACATTTTTCAAAATATCCTATTTTGTGTTCAACAGAAAAATAAACTGCTTTGATGATTAGAATAAAATGAATGTAATTATTAATGATTGTAATGATTAAATGTGAGTAAATAATGACAGAACTGAGAAAACAGTGGCATGTTTTGACTGTTTATCATCTATTTCATGCACACATCTTGAATAAAAAAAAATCCTAACAGTTAGAATGTAATTTTAATCTATAATAATATGGATTCTTGAATCTATACTTCAGTCTTTTTGCGTGTGCTGTTTTTCTGTACAAACCTAAACACTTTTTCAATTTCAAGTAATTGTTAAATGTTTTGTTAATGTTTATATGAAAGTGATTTAAATATTTTGTAGATTGTAATAACGGTATGTCTCATAGATTTACCTTTTAATATGGGACCTCATAGGATAGATTTGAAATATTGTCTCAATCCAATATTGCTCTTAGAATCAAAAGATTGAGAATTACTGATCTTAATTTGTTTATTCCGGGTTTTACAGTTCATTTTTATGTTTTATTTGCAGAGTGGTGAGATGAAGTCTTTTCCAGAGTCATATACTATCATCCAAGTTCCAGTGGATGACTTTGTGACCATGATTAACAGCTATTGCAAGGTAGGCAAATTATGCTCCAGCATGGTGTGATTTCCTATTGGGCCATCATAATGACTTAATTAACTATTAATAGGATAATTGTTTGATGTGCTGGATGTGCCCTTTGTGTATGATGTGGCAGCTAAAGATGAAATTAAAAAGAGTTTTTGGCCGAAAGGGCAAGAAGAGAACTAGCAGTTTTGACCTTTCCAAGAAGAGTCAGAGCAATTAAGGGTAATGAATATAATTACGGGATCACATCTCAATTATGTTAAAATGATCCACAAGCTCTTTATAATATGGCATTTTTTAATCTGTGAGAAATGCATGTCTTCAGAATTTTGACAGCCTTGGGATTTCTCTTCTGTGTGGGGCTTTTCGGTTTTTAATATAGAGGCAAAGCAGCAGTGTTTTGACTGATACTGGGATATCACTGACTGCCTGGATACAAGGACTTATGAGCAGGAATCCAGGCAGATCCCTCAGTCTAGTTGTGATTGACATAGAGAAGTACTTCAGGTGAGTGACTTATTAAGAGTGTCAGTTTCAATGTGCATCCATTTACTTTAAGGAAATACAAGCTTTACTTATGGTATTAAATGGTATGTTCCTTTACTTGTCGTCTGAAGTTTTACATTAAACAGTAGGATAATTGAATGAGTGCTCTATATAACACTGAGATTAAAACATCTATTTTATTAGTACAATTAACAATATAAAGTTCTTAAAGTGCATATTTGTTTGATAAATGTGCAAACTCAAATGCCTTTGCATAAATTTTTGGGCATCGTTACATGTACTATACCCTTTATTAAGTATTGTATTAAATTATTTAATAATTTTGTTAATATGTGGTTATATAGTCATCAGTGATGTGAATAACAGTGTTATAAATAAACAGCGTTATCAACGGCAATAATTTTTTCAGTAACAAGTAATCAAATGAATTACTGTTTCTCCCATTAGAACGTCATTGCCGACAATAAAATGTATTGTATTATAATTAAGACCACTGAAGCAGTTTTCATGCGAGCAGGGTCTCTCTTAGTCATAGGACCACTCTTTCTCTGGGGTGGGTGTGTATGTTCAGGGCTGGGGTAGGACACAACCAACCAGTCATGATGATTGGTGTGTCTGAACGTGGTGTAACTGAGAATCAAAGTACATCTCCATCATTTGCCAGTCAGAGGCAGGGTAGTGTAGGTGTGTACACACAAGCACATGCACAGTCAGTCTGCACACCAACGATTAGCAGTCAGAAGGATGGCGAATCCGACAAGTTCAAAGGTAGCTTTTGCAAAATTGAAATATAAGCACTACTTTTCCCAATTTTCTAATATTTATTATAATATGTTGAATTTGATGGTTGTCTCTCACAACAACATTAAAATAGTGTAGATTAGCATATTATAAATGTTTTAAATTTATTTAATAGTCTTTGTCAAATATTTATTATTTTCCTTGATAATTAGTTACTTGTATATATGTGTAACCCTGTTACTAACTCTGTTACTATTTGTGAGAAGTAACTATAACTAATTAATTACTCTTTTAAAGAAACATGCCCAACTCTGATAGTCATTCTCTATTAACATGTTTTTGTTGCTTTTATGTACAGAAAATTGCACAGAAAATACTTTAAAAGGATTGTCTAGGGCTGCACAATTCTGGCTAAAATGAGATTTATGATTTATTTTGCTTAAAATCAAGATCACAGTTTTCTCACGATTTTGTAGTTATAAAATACGGTTAATATGAGTAGGCTATTATTATTGTTACTTCTCAAATACATGGTAAAAAACACTAATAATACTAGGCCTATGTGTAGGTCTACTGTTGGTTAAAATGCTAAATTTTGCATAGACTTGGAATGATGGACTTAAACAGACTTTAGATGTGTCATGTTTGTTAATGCACAGTAAAGTGATGACATCAGATTGCAAGTATTCACATTTGTGAAGTTGAATTATTATGTTTGAGATATATGCCTGTCATTTGTCATTGAGAATATTATTAGACCATTTTGTCAGTGGTAAAATGAGACATTTGTCAGATCAGATTTGTCATCTGATCAGATTCCCTCTTGCATTATATTAAATATTATAGGCTAGTTACACTGTACCCAGTAAACATTTATTTTCATGCACAACAAATGTGATATGATCATTTAAATGATATGCACGCCGGTTTCATTTTCACTGCCGAGTGCAGCTCATGTCATGGCTGTCTTCACTTTCAGAAAAAAAGATACATGCAAATCATACTTTCTACATGGTTTCCAAATGATCGCTCAGTGCAACAAACGAAACGTTATTTACAACTTTATTACCTGTTATTTACAACCTATAAAGGTTCTGTTCACTCAAGTAGACATCATTGGCAGGCTTGTGTGATTTTTGCAGCCGCGAATACATTATTACATTAAGACAGAAATGCTATTTTTGGGTGAATTATACCTTATAAACAGTATGCAACACTTTTAACTCCATTCGGAGGTGGCCATGTTGCTGTGAAGACTTGTGCAACCGCCTTCTCTCCTGACCTTAAAAATGTAATTGGTTGAGTGGTAGAAAAGCTGAATTAAGATTGTGTGTAGGGTCGAATCGAGATAGCAATCTGTTTTTGAATAATCGTGCAGTCCTCCAAAAATTTAAAATGTACTCACCCTGAAGTGATAACAATCCTTTAGGAGTTTCTTCTGTTAAACACAAAGGAAAATATTTTGAAGAAAGCTGAAATCCTGTTTCCATTGAAGCCCATAGTAGGAAAAACAATTACTATGGAAGTCAATGTTTATAGCTTTTTAATATTTTTCTAAATATCTTATTTTGTGTTTATTAGAAGAAATGAACAAACTTATAAAGAATTAAAACCATGATAATGGTAAATTATGACATTTTACGTTAAGTGGACTATCCCTCTGAAGGCAAACATATATTAAAATAAAACTTAGCATGAAGCATATTATGATTTGTTTTGAAAGATCTAATGAAAAGTTTTATAATTGCTTACTTTAAATGCACTTTTGCAGATCCCAGAATTCAAAATGTCAGAAGAAATACCGTGAGGCAGTGCTGGGCGAGGAGAAGAATGTGGGACTTCAGGGAGGGCAGAAAAAGAGAAGAAAGAAAGACGATATCAATCAGCTTCCTGAGGTCTCGCGAGTGCAGGTGGAGGAGGTAAGCTGAACCACTTCATTGGCAGTCGATATAAATTCATGGCTGTATTTGAGGTCCTCTGCTTCAACTCAGCCTTTCTTCCCTCACCTGTCTATCAGGCTTTGGTAGACCTGCAGTTGCAAACCGGGGTGCAAGTTCGCTTCCTCTCTACCTGGAAAGACTTCACTGATTATATTACCATGTCAACCAAAGCAGTAGCTGAGGCGCCGTTCAAGTGAGTGGGAAGCCACAGTTTCCATATTTATCGCTTACCGTCCAGCTGCATCTTTAGCTACTGTGGTCTATTTCTTTCTTACTTCATGAGTGTTTATTCCTTCCAGGCGGGAGCGAGAGAAGACGGGATTTACGTTTTGTTTGGAGAGTGAGTGGGCTGGAGGTCAGAAGGTAGACCGCACAGGGAATGGCCTTCTGCAAGTTTGGAAGAGACAAATACAGCAGTTGAACCGCGTCAGCCTTGATATGGCCAGTGCTATACTCAGTGCCTACCCCTCTCCTCGGCTTCTTGCTCAGGTTAAATTTGGTTTTATTCATGAAGTCAACCTTATTTTCTTTTTCCTTTTTTTGCTGTTTCCGTCCAACTAATTTGAATGCACATTTTGGAATATTGCTTAAAAATGCTCAAAAGAAACACCAAGATGCACATAAATTTGGAAAATGAGTAGAAACTGGGTAGAATAAACTTTTTATTCGAAAAAGAAATGCACATAAACTACAGTGGAAACGCATTTACCATATGAATTGTAGCATGAGCATTAAAAAAGTCATGTAATGTGAACAGGTCATGTGATAACAAATATTTGCACAATTTCGGTTTTATTACCTTTTTTATTACCTAACTGTTTTGAGCACCTACACTACAAAAGCAATTCACCTTTCTCTTCTGAGGTGAAATATTTAAATTCATTATACAAAACAAAAAGGTCCACAATGACTTCTTCTACCATAGCAAATTTTCTTTTTGATATTTGGCACTATTTTTTAGGAAGTGATTAATATGTTCTCTTGGACTCATTAAATTTAAACAGTGATTTAGTTGCTAATGTTTATGTGATTTACCAGTTTTGTCTAATTTGCATATTTGCATATAGACATATCTAGTGAATGACATTTAGACCCAATCCCAATTCTACCCTTTAGCCCCATTCACTTAACCCCTAATAATAATTTCACAGTGTTTTACTGTCATGCTTTTAAAAAACACTAAATTTCGCTATCTGTAATCCCCAATAATAACTCCTGTATAGCAGTCCCACAACAATCCCCAGGTCGTAAATGCACAGAACAGTTACGATCTTATTGTTACATTGTATCGTTATGTTAACATAATACATGCCTTCAGTGATTTCCTGAAGATAAATACAAAAAAATAGCACAACTGGAATAAATACAGTAGTCATGATCATCAATCTTATATGAAGCAAGAGATCACGGTGTTGTATGATGTTGTGTGCAGGGGCTGTAATGGTGTCTCATTTCTTAGGGGTACATTTTGAAGTCCCCTTCATTCTGTTTCTAGGGCCAAGAGGAAGAGCTAGGGGCAAAAAATAGAATTGTGATTGGGCCTTAGTGTGAAATCTCAGGCTTTTTGTTTGTTATTTGCAGGCATACACACGGTGCAGATCTGAACAGGAAAAAGTTGGCTTGTTGTCAGACTTACTCATTCGTCGTGGAGAGGGTGTGACATCTACAACCCGTAGAGTCGGTCCAGAACTTTCCAAACGAGTCTATCTTATGATGACCTCAAGTGATGACCAACAACCCCTTGATTCTGCATGATTCTTGAACAGTATATAAAGACAAATGACAAACTAATTGTTATATTTGACTTACATTTTTGGTGCAAACTCAGTTTGCTTGAGTTATTGATAAGCTATTTTGATGGACTTCATTTAAATATTCTACATTGATTTCTTATTATAAATGGTTTCTATTAAATATGTCTTAAAGTACCTTAAAAACATTTTACTTCATCAAAACTAGTTTTCCTCTTTCTCTACCCTCTCTACACTTGACGTGAACCTTGAAACTTTTTCCTTTCCTAGAATGCTGTTTGAGTTTTTTGTTCGCTTCATCTTCGTAGCAAATAACCTTGTTAGACAGAAGTCTTTTCAAACAATTTCTTTTCACACATTTGGAGGTTTTTAAGACCCGTAGCTTAAACCGAAGCAGTTTAGTTTAGAAAGAATTCCTTCTGTGTTATATTTACATGTTTTAGCAGCACCAGACAGGGAATTGTTAATTGAAAAAGCAACGGTTTCAGCCTTGGCTTTTTTCCTGTTTAAGGCACTACTGCAAGCCTTTCGGAACCAAAATGGCCCCTTGAGCACACCATACTCACTGTCTAAGGACTGTAGAGGCTCATGGCTCATTTCCAGCACATTAGAGAATGGCACCTGACCAAGGAGTGTCTTGTTGCCTGAAACGAGCAGTGGGGTAACGAGCCGTTAAATGTGCTTAAGAGATGAGCTGCATGCTTCATCCCAGTCCCTGAAGGCAGTATTTCCTCTACAGTTTAAGGGATGGCATAACAAACTATGGGCTAGTAGGTGTGTGCTTGTGCCGAGGGGAATAAAACCGGCAGAATTACCACCGCTTGAAAAGGGATCACCTTGGAGTGATTGTTTACTGAACACTATGAAATCCAATTTTCGTGTACTCTGAACACAGACTCTAATAGCTTTTATGACCTAGAGTCAGCAGCGCTAACACTTTCATTGGCTTGTGAATGGTGGAATGAGAGTTTAATTTCCAAAAAGGAGTAGTAGTGTACTTAAAACTCGCAATGCATCTCTATTAACCGAAATATTTCGGAGGAGTAGTCTCTTTCTTGGTTTCTTTTAGATTGCCGTGGCTCGGCTTATCTCGAGCTACTGTATGAGCAATGTGCATATGTGAGTCAATGCTGTTCCAAATGATAGATTGGAACTGCTAAAGCATTTCCGTTCAGTGGTGTAGCAGTTTCTCATTTTCTGGTGCACACAAGATTTTTCCTGCTCCTTGTTGGAGATTAATAAGAATCGGGAGTGGCGGTAGGTCAACGTCGGCCACCTTCACTCACAGTCAATAGAGTGGGAAGCTAAGCAGGGCTGTTAGTCACTGTCTCTCCCTGGATATTCTCCACACAGCTCATCTCGTGGAAAAATGCACCTTCTTATCGGCCGCCACACAAAATGGAGTGCCACAGGCGGTGCTGTGTACGGTTTCGTGAGCCTGTTTTGTTCCAGTTACACTTTCGTATTCTTGGCAGAGTGGGTGCACTTCCAATTTCTTGAGTTGTGCCATGGTAATGCCACCTGTAGTGTGCTGGGCCTCTGTTGACATTGGCATAGTAATAGCACATTTCTTCGGGCAATGATATGGCAACAAGGCTGATAATATCCTTCCATTGCATTCTTGATGTGTTTTGCCTTGGCGCTCGGTGAATCACCATCCACTCAGAGCCACTCGCTAAAATGACAAGAAAGAATGTCAAAGACTCTAACAATCTATTTCAGCGTTGAGTAGGCCGGCCACTGTGGTATTGGTTTCCTTGCCACCAGCGTTCAATCAATGTTTCCTGCTTCTCTTTAAAAATAAATCATTATGTGGCTCTGCTTCTTTGTTCATTTGCAAATCAGACACAAACGATTCGAGCGTTCAGATCCAGTTCTTGTGGGAAAAGAGATGCAAAACCCTCTAGAAAACAACTTTGGCTGCCAGAGCTAGAGGCTTTTCAACTTCAGAGGAAAAATATTGCATTGTTATTGCAAGATTTTGTTTTCTACCTTGCCCTCTCTTACCAGCCTTTTTTTTTGTAAATACTGCACGTATGTACAGAATTTTCTTCTCTTGTGGTGGATAATTTTGTTGTTTTCTGTGTGTGCTTTTTTCCTTTTTTCTTTTATTGATGGCCACATGAGGGCAGGATTGCTTCGCTGTGACTCTACATTAACCAAACCAGTAAATTCACACTGGAATCGCTGTTCTCAGCCTGATGTTATATTGAACGTCACTGAGGGATCCAACGTAGCACCAAAGCTGTCCTCAAAATCAAACAAATATATTAACATCATCATGAACCAAGTAGACTGTACAATATGGAAGACTGTGTGTTAGGTGCCTTTTTACTTTGATGGTTGCTTCTACCTAATAGCAGTCATAGCATCATTACACAAGTTTATTCTTTCTGTAAATTACCTCATATTTAATGTAGAGTTTGTTTGACATTTGGATTTACGATTTAAAGTTATGTTTTTGGACTATGCGAGGACATTTCTTCTGAATGAAAAAGAAAAATGCCTTTTTATTTCATCAAATAACAAAAAAGATTGAAGGTTTTCCAACATTTTTATATACTTTTGTAAACAATAACAATGTTCTAACTTTAGAAAAGTTAAGATAATCAATATTTAGTGCAATATCCCTGATTTTCAATCACTAAAATCAATGGGCTAAATGCACAGCTAGTGTTTTTAAGCCAATGATGAACTTCCGGTGAAAGCTTTATGTGACTATTTTCAATTTCATAAGGTTCCTTTTACAGCTACGGTGTTGTAATGTTATACAATCAAATACAATCAGTTAAATAAACTTAAGCATCCATTTGGATGTTAAAGCGTAAAAAGGGACAAAAGACTGTTTAAACGCAGGAACCGTCATTAGCAGCAGGCTAGTGTAAAAACTTCATTGAAAATAAAATTTTAAGGGTAAAATTAATTCCCATATTTTAAAGAAATATAATTAGAATGTTTTTAGAAAAATATAATGTTATGCAGTGCTTCTTGTTTGCTCTGATATTCACTTTTATCCCAGCCAGGCAGTAAAAATCACTTTTTTATTATTTATTTATTTATTTTTTAAAGAAATCAGATCATAAATTCTGCGATTTTTGTATGGAATGACAATTAACAGAACGTCCTGGTCAATTTATTCATAACAATTTGCATTTGTATAATATTATTATTAGCAGTATTATTTATTATATGTATATTTGTTTTTATTAAAAACAATCTCAGATTTGCCCACCTTAACAGATAATAAATTCACTATTTGCTTATGCTTAATAAATGATTTATAGTGTGTAGTTATTATATAGTGTTACCATCAATTGTTATTTTTGAAATTTCAAAGAAATGTCATACATTTAAGTAACTATTTTGTTATTTTTGTAACCTCATAAATCCATCCATTTTTTCCATAGCTATGTCTCTATTTAAACATTTACATCAGTTTCACTGTAATTTTATGTAGATTTGTTTGTTTAAAATATTGGTACAGTGCATCCTGAAAGTATTCATAGTGCTTTACTTTTTCCACATGTTATTATGTTACAGTCTTATTCCAAAATGGATTAAAATCTTTTATTTCCTCAAAATTCTGCACACAATACCCCATAATGACAATGTGAAAAGAATCATGTACATAAATATTAACAGCCTTTGCTCAATACTTTGTTGATGCACCTTTGGCAGCAATTACAGCCTCAAGTCTTTTTGAATATGATGCCACAAGCTTGGCACACCAGTCTTTGGGAATCCACCGAGCTGCCACCACCATGCTTCACTGTAGGGATGGTATTAGCCTGATCATGTCCAATCAACTGAATTAATTGACCACAGGTAAACTCAAGTTAAGCTGCTGAAACATCTCAAGAATGATCAGTAGAAACAAAATGTATCTAAGCTCAATTTAGAGCACTGCAAAGGCTGTGAATACTTATGCACATTTGATTTTTCAGGTTTTAAAATTTTTAATAAATTTGCAGCTATTTCGATACATCTTTTTCACATTGCCATTATGGGGTATTGTGTGTAAAAATTTGAAGAAATAAATAATATGAATCTATTTTGAAATAAGGCTGTAACATAAAAAATGTGGAAAAAGTGAAGCACACTGTAACACTTAATTTTACAGTCATGTTCTACTAGCAAAAAGTGTACTTATTCTAGTAATTGCTGTGTAACAAACTACAGTAGGTGCTAACCCCGAACTGTTATCCAATTTTACTGTACATTTATAGAAAAATACTCTAAAAGTACACGTAAAAGTGATTGTGCTTTCAAATGTAGTGCAAGTAGAATATTTGTCGCTAAAATGTCCTTGAACCACGTTTTTGAAAGGTGATTTTATTCTCCATTTCCACCTGGGGATACTCAATCTGAGGCCCTCAGACTATGATTCCTTACTCTGATTCGATCCAAGAACAGCGACGAGATGACCCCAAGGTTTCCATATCCTGACCCAGGCCGTATCCTGAGCAGCTACTGTGGTGGTCATGGAGTAGTGGAGAGCATAAGACTGATTCCTGTGACGCTACAGGGACAGACGAGTCTGCTGAGTTCCAGCTTACAGCCTCCGGCGCCTTGACTGCAGCTCTGCACAAGACGTTTGGCCAGTGGAGAAATGGTCGTGCCCAACTGAGCCTGGTTTCTCTCAAGATTTTTTAGTTCTTCACTTTCGCCAGTTGGTAAAGTTTTTTTCCTCGCCGCTGTCGCCACTGGGTTGCATCGTTCGAGATCTGTAGAGCTGCGCATCAATGGATTGCCCATCAGTTAGACACTCAGTTGTGATTATTATACCACACTGAACTTAGCTAAACTGAATTGAACTTAAACACTGAAAACTGAACTACACTGTTTCAATTTGAAGCTGATTTGACACAATCTACATTCAAAAAGCGCTACACAAATAAAGGTAAATTGAATTGAATTGAATTTGCTTCCGAGATTAAGCTATCCAGATTCATGATTTATATTGCAATGCTTTACAAGCCAACCTTCTAGCTATAGCGAGCCCTTACAGGTGATCCAGAATGCAGCAGCACAACTAGTCCTCTATCAATCTATGAAGAGCTATGTTACAGCCCTCTTGGTCACCAACTTTATGCTTGGAGGGAAGCACATAGGACCACCTACTGGTCTGCACGCTCTTACCTAAACACTCTCCTCCAGATTCATGGTCCTCCTTATTCCCTGCAGTCAGTCGAAGTGTGATCCCTGGTGGCAGATTCACAGCATGATATGTGCTCTATAACGTCTACACTGGTACATCACATTCTTTTTGGGGTCTTGCATGCAAATCAAAAGAGTACATGGTAAAGTATGTGTACAGACTACTTTAATATTGTGTAGATAACCAGTGGCCAACATCTGATGTTTGTTTTTCACTGAATTGATGGCAGGGCTGCACAATATATCGTTTCAGCATCAATATCACAGTGTGTATCTGCAATAGTCACATTGAAAAAAAGATATGCAATGTCCAGGATGAATTATAGTTCACCAGGAGCTACAGAATTGTATTTAATCACTGTATTTTTTTACATTTTACATGCAACAACAAAAGAATGGTTTACTTAGAGTTGTTGTCTTTATTTTTAGTCCAAATATTTACATTTTAAAGTGAATGCAAGATTGTTTAACTTACTCCACTTGCAGATAATTTTGCTTGTTTTAAGTAAAAACTCTTAATTTAAAACATTATTTTTAACTGATCTAAAAATGTTGTTAGGATATTTGAACTATAAATGAGACCAGGTGAGAAAAGCATGTTTTGCATTGTGATCATTCAATTTCTGTACCTGTTTACTGTTAGACTCCCAAGAAAAACGCCAAATAGTGCTATTCAACCATCTTGTGAAACTATTTACATTGCAATATTTATTGCAGAAAAATAAAATATCGCAATATCAGATTTTTCCAAAATTGTGCAGCCCTAATAGATGAACTACCTAAAACTGTACTGTGTATCTAGTTATCATTGTAATCTAGAATAAGCATAAAGTTTGCTGATTAAAAAAACAACTCTAAAATAAAGTGTGACCAAAGCTTTATTTTATTTATACATTATTTTAAATAAAGGTATTATAACATTTCTTCAAAATGTAAAATAAGAAAAATTGTCATTTATTGAGCAATTATAAAATTGCTCACAATAATAAGATTTATACGATTTTTTCATTTTTTTCCCAAATAATAATTTACATTTAATATAATGTACAGATGTTTATTGTAATTTGTTTTGTTATTTATTTATTTATTTATTTATTTATTTATTTTTTGGCTCTAGACACCATCTGCTTCTGGGGCTGTGCAGACACAGATTCTTCTATTGTGCTCAATGGTAACGCATGATGGTAAATGTGCTCCATTTCCTCATTTTCACTTTTAGCATCACTTAACAACAATGCAGTACTAAAGAGACTACATATCAGAGACCAATATCTACAGAGACAGCATCCAGTGTGCATGACATGTCTGTGAAAAAAAAATCAACCCAAAGACCAATCAAAAATATTTTTTAAAGCAAATGTCACTTGCCTCTTCTAGACCTTGAAACAATATTTTAGAGTCACATTGATTTGTTCTGCACAATTTCTACAGTAATAATAAATACTCTAAGCTTTACAAAACTCATAATCCAGTACAGTTGTATTCCTGGTTAAATGTGAAATATTTCAATGCTCACAATTTTTGCAATATGGCAAACCTTTTAATCCAGCGGAAAATTCAACCCACTCAACAGCTTAAAATGTGGCCAATTTCACAGGAAAATCAAACTTGGCAACACTGACTGAATTACGCAATTTCAACATGGCAAAATACATGCCTGGATC